AGGCTCCCCGTGCGCTGGCGGCCCACCCTCCGGGAGCCAGCAGGCAGGAAGCTAGCCAGCCAGAAGGCTGGCGCTCCCCACCCGCAGCTCCCTGTCTCATTTATTTCTTATAGTGAAATATATATAACATAAAATTTACTATTGTAACCATTGTAAGTGTACAGTTTGGTGGCATTGAATACATTTGTATTATTGTGGAGCTATCACCACCATCTATCCACCTCTGCAACTCTTAGATCAAGTTTCTTTCTGATCCAGAGCTGTTGTACTTTTCCAAAGAGGGCAAGAAACTTGTACTTCTTCCCCAGGAGATAAAAGTATAGTGGAGCATTTCTAATGGCTCCTGGAGCCTTTGTTCCCTTCTCCAGGGGAAGGTGAATGAGTAATTGGTGATTTGTCAGGACTAAAGTTCAGCCTTTTTTAGTTTTCCCTTTCACTCTGTCATGCTAGGGACACATATATGTTCTCATCCTTCAACCAGTGAACATACTTTGGTAGATTCTGCCCTAGTAAGGAAAGGCTGTAGTTCAAGGAAAGTGACGACAACTTGGGAAGAAGCAGTAGAAAGCTCCTTTGCATGTGCGTCAGAAAGGTGGACTTTAATTTATTAAAAATCAGTTTTCATTCCTCAGTGTTTGAGAAGACGATTGGATGCAATGTGTTAAATCTGAAGTTATGCCCACTTTACTGTCATTTCTTCTCTTGCAGGTTCCTTCCCTTGTCTTCCATGAAACTTCACTATCTTGTATCTCTATTTTTATTTTTGGACCATTCCTTCTCTTTTTGTGCTTGTACTTCTTTTCTTTTTTTTTTTTTGTACTGAGAATCAAACTCAGGACCTTGCACTTGCCAGTCAGGCACTTATGCCACTGAGCTATATCCCTGGCCCTTGTACTTCTTTTCATATTCTCAGTTGACCTTGTCTTCTTTTTCTACATTGTTTGGTTTGGTTTGGTTTTGGCTTTGAGACAGGGTCTCTATGTTGCTCAGGCTGTTGTTGAACTCACCATAATCCTCGTACCTCAGCCTACCGAATGCTGGGTTTGTAAGCATGGGCCACCATACCCAACCTCTCTTTCTACATTCATCTCTTAGAGAGATTAGCTAGTTTGCTGACTTTTAACTCTCACAACTGTAAATTGATTTTCAGATCGGTATCACCAGTTCCTTAATTCTTACTATTTTCCTAGATAGCCATCTACTTGGATTTCCCGTCATTACTCACTTTATGCCAAATTGAAATAATCTACCACACTGTAACTAGCTCTACTTGCTAAATTTATAAATATAAATATATATTTTTATAAAAGTATTTTTAAATACTGTTTTCATTGTCCTTTTTCACTGCCCAATAAATTCAGTGTTATTTTTTCCACATTATTTAGCCTGTTAGTTAGTTTTTAAAATCTTCTATGATCTACTGAATGTGGCAATGCACACCTACAATCCCAGGTCTTGGGAGACTGAGGCAGGCGGATTACTGTGAATTTCAGGCCAACTTGGATTATGTAGTGAGCTTAAGGCCAGCCTGAAAAAAACAAAAAAATTCTTCTATGCTATGGTATAATCTTATTTTGCCTTATTTTATTTTCTACTTTTCTGTAGCTCATCTTCCAGTCCTGTTAACCTAGTTCTTTTACTTTCTACAAATATGCTAGAATCTTTCTTTAGTCCTTCACTTATTTTTTCCATGTATTACCATTATTATTTACTAGCATGAGTTGTTCATTATTATACAACTACTAGATTTTTTTCTGGGGCAAGACCATGCCTTCTTGGTATGTCAGCTATAGATGATAATGAGTATGTAACTATTAAAATGCTTCATTATTTTAAGCAAATCTTAAAATATGGGAATGAGCTGGGCATGGTGGCTCACGCCTGTAATCCCAGCACTCGGAGGCTGAGGCAGGAGGATCCCTGTGAGTTCAAGGCCGGCTTTGACTACAAAGTTAGTTCAAGGCCAGCCTGAACTGCATAGTGAAACCCAGTCTCAAAAAGACCAAAAAATGGGGATGAAAACATTTCTTCAGATTACTATTTTAAGAAAAACTCTAATAATAAAAGGATTTACAATGTGATATATTGCTTCTGTTAGCTCTTTTTGATTATTCTTGTTTTTCTAAGTTATATGTGTGTATATTTGTGTATGTTAGATTTTCTTCACCAACACTTTTTATTGGTCATAAAATGGTTTCTCAGTAGTTTCCTAAAGTTGTTTGGATTGTTTCATGAGGTGTTTAAAAGTCCTTATTATCAACTTCACAGAATGCTATGGATATTAGTGTATTCACAGCCATGTGGTTAAATCACCTTATTTTACAATTTTGTAACTATTACTATTTTACCTTAAAGTCATATATCTTGTAAAAAACAGTGGTTAAAAGTATCCAACAGACTGAGTAATCTTTCCCACTAAAGGATTCTTTCTCTTCTCCCACGATATACCAGTAGTAAAAATGATTTTTGCTTAATAGCCAAAGAAATATTTCCTGCATTTTACTTTAAAATATTGTTTGGTAATCATTTTTACTTTTTGAGTTCTCATTTAATGACTTGTATACAGGCCTATCTCTAGGCCTGATTATATTATACTAATTTTAAATTTTTCCTGAAGTATTCTATTCATTTTATTTATATAAAAGGATTGTAGCTAGCCTTTATGTACCTACTTTTATTTGTAGATGGTATCTTGAAGAACTAGGTTAGAAGAGACTTTGAAAACATTTTTATTTTGTAGCAGTTTTATTATTTTTAGGAAAAAATGTAGATAATATCTTGTATTGTTATCTCTTTTTATTATGGGCAGAAGTACAACCACAACATGTTTTTCTATTTATTTGTTTTTGACTGCTCTTTTGGGTGGGTGGGAGTACTGGGGATTGAACCAAGGACCTTCTTATTGAGCTACATTCCCAGTCCTTTTTTGATTTTTTATTTTGAGACAGGCTCTGAGTCACTACGTTGCCCAACCAGAATTTCCAGTCGTCCTCTTTCAGCCTCCTAGAGTGCTGTGATTGTAGTGCCCAACTCTACAACAGTAGTTTTATATCTTCCTTTTTGTTTGAGGTTCTGCCAAGACAAAATATTTAGTCTAATGAGAAAGAACAAGATCTCCATGCCCATATCTTTGCCCTTATTTCCTCTAAGGAGGAAAAATACATGGAATAAATTATAGATCTTAATACTGTTTAAGGGACCGCAGTTAACAAATTTTCTCTTTTGGAATAAAAAGACATGATGTGTATGGATAATACCAATTTATTTATAATTTTTGTTTTTACCTGGCCTTGTTTTAAATGCATATCTGACTGAACTGCATTTGTCTATGTATGCAGGTACACACTTGTTTATAATCTAAGTATATGTATTTCAGAAGGCAAAAACTAGTTAGTTACTGAAGTCTGAGTCTGTTAGACAAGGAAAACTATGCTAATTTCCATAAAGTAAACACAAAGTACCAACTGTTGTTGGTACTAAGACTAAATAGTAATTTCTTTTAGAGAAGAATATTCTAAAAATGAATATTGATCTATTGAGACAGTTCTTCAGCGTTGTTATATGAAGTACAATCACAGTTTTCATTGGGTTTCAGATTGACTCATAGCATATTAAAATTAATCTTACTTAAAAGAAGCCTCACCAGGAATCAATACTTTACTAGTTTTATGCTGATCTGGATTTGATCCAGCAGAATTTTAAATATCTATAATGCATACATCACATGTTCTTTACTCCTTTCTCAATATTATTTCTTATGAACAAGATTTTGATAAAGATAGTATGGCAGTAAATTTGGCATATTCCCTAACAAGTACATGGAAAATATCTATTTGATGATACTAGTTCAACTCAGGTCTGGCCCATTGGTTGTAATGGACCAGGGATCTAAGGGAACAGTTGACATTCTCTTTTATTTTTCGTTTGGGTTTTGGTTTTGAGGCAGTGTCTCACTATGTAGTGCATGCTGGACTTGAACTGACTTAGGTAGCCAAGACTGGCCTTTAACTCACAACGATCCTCCTGAGTGCTGGAATTATAGGTGTTCACCACCATGCCTGACTGACATTCTCTTTTGAAATCTGAAGAGTTTTTCATATTAGACAACCATCTCATTGAATTTATTGTACAGTGAAGGAAACTTGCTAATAAGTTTATTTTTCAATTTCTACTACATGCAGAAAATTGGAGATTCATACCGTGGCTACTGTGTAAGTGAGACCGAATTAGAAAGTGTCCTAACATTTCACAAGCAGCAGACACAGAGTGTTTGGGGGACCCGCCAGTCTCCAAGCCCAGCCAAGCCTGCTACACGCTTAATGTGGAAATCCCAGTATGTCCCATATGATGGAATCCCATTTGTCAATGCAGGTACTCTTTTTTAAAGGTTCTTTAGCAGTCATTGTCCATTGTAAAAATGTGATTTTCCTAAGGTAATACATTTTCATTTTGGTAGATAGTAACTGAATGTTAATAGATTAAAATACATACTAAACTAAAAAGAAAACTTACATTAAATATAACCAATTACTTAATGTCATCAAATTACATTTTGATATATCAGAGTGAATAAATAGTGCTTTCTTTATATTTTATGCTTATGAATAGAAAATAAAATTGTTGAAATTCCAGGTATACCTATTTAATAAGTTATAAAAAGGGAAATTATATTTTTAAAATATACATATCCAGCTGGGCATGGTAGCACATAACTGTAATCCCAGTACTCAGAAGGCTGAGGCAGCAGGACCACTTTGAGTTCAAGGCCAACCTGGGCTACATAAGTGAGTTCAAGGCCAATATACACTAAATAGACTCTGTTCTCATTATGTAATTATTTTTCATTTATTAAAAAAAAAGAGCTAATAAAACAATTTCAGAAGATTTGTTAAGAGTAACAAACACAGCCAGACATGGTGGTGTAAGCCAGTAATCCCAGTACAAGAGAGGATCACAGTGGGTTCAAGGAACAGCGTGGGGTACATAGTGAGCTCATACACACACACACACACACACACACACACACACACACACACACACACACACACACGCACCCAGTGCCCCTCTGCCAATCTAGATATTCTCTCTTTTCTTAATTTCCTTTGTAGGAGAAACTTGTGTCCATTTTAGGTAGCTTATAACTCTAATTACTGTACAGAATTTCTATGCATTGTGGATTTAATACATATAGAATTCTGATATTAAAGTTTTCAAGCACTGGACATATTATATGTAACATTCTGAAACCCTGGGTTGGTGCTGACTGCAGTGGAGAGTTTCAGGCAATCCCCAGAAATCTACTGCAGGATTAGTTACACCTCAGAGAACTTAACAATAAGTGATTCATTTCTGGACTGTGAAGGCACTAATTTAGCTGGAAGGATTGTGGTCTCATGCTGGACCTCTCAGGTTAATAAGGAATACTTATGGTTGTGGCTGTAGCTGAGTGATAGAGTGCTTGCCTAACATGGATAAGGCCCTGAGTTCAATCCCCAGCACTGAAAAAAAAAATAATGAAAGATTGATTTAAAAAACTGTAAGATTGCTGGGCATGGTGGTGCACGCCTGTAATCCCAGCACTCAGAAGGCTGAGGCAGGAGGATCATTGTGATTTTGAGGCCAGCCTGGGCTACAGCATGAGTTCTAGGCCAGTCTGAACTGCATTGTGAGACCCTGTCTCAAAAAAAAAAAAAGACAGTAAGATAAATGTACCCCTTTTGCCCAGGTTTCATCAGTGTTCTATAAAAGAAATGCAGTCTCAAAGGTAAGCATGGAGTGGCTGGGGGTATTGCTCAGAGGTACCATTTGCCTAGTATGTGTGAGGTTCTAGATTTGGTCTCCAACACCACAAAACAAAAGAAAAAACCCTTGATGCCCTGAATTTCTCCTTTTTCGTTCTAATCCCCTTTTTTGGATGTGAGGGCAATCTGGCTGTGACATCTGTCACCCCGTTGATGGCCAGGGTTGATTCAGCCAATCTAGCTGGCTAGGCGATTGTCCCCTTCCTCTCTCAGCGCTCCATGTGTGCGTCCCTCCCAAACGTGTGCTTGGTCACAGAGGATGACGACCACCAATAGAGGAGGACAGTTCATCTGTCAAGGGTATATGAGTAGCTGCGCTGCCCTGCTAGAACCTCCAAACAAGCTCTAATCCCCTTTTTAATTCATCATAGATAGCCATTAAATGCATTTGGTGGGTACCTTTCCCATCTGCTTTTATTTCATTTTATCTTTTATAGTATTGGGGATCAAACCCAGGGTCTTGGACTTACTAGGCATATATACTAGTCTAAATATTTTACTTAATTTAAAAAATATTTTAATGTGATATGTGTAGATCTTAATAAAGAAAACATAAAGAACACTTTCTTTCTATTTAAAAAAAACAAAATTCCCCAACTAAACAATTAGAGAATAAAAATAGTTAATATACTGTGTACCATCATCTTAAAAGAATGGTCAAATGTTACTTAGAGTACAAGTCATGGACATAAAACTCTCTTACAAAAAAGAAACAGGTAACAATAAATGTCTTTTCAATGAACTAAGAGAAACTAGTAATATAAATGAAATCAATTAGCATATATTGAAATAGTTTTGAAACAATGGAATGGAGAACTTCAGTAATTATTTGAGGGGGCTGGGGATTTAGCTCAGCGGCACAGCACCTGCCTGGCAAGTGCAAGGTTGTGAGTTCAATTCCTGGTACTGGAGAAAAAACAAACAAACAAAAAAAAAGTAATCATTTGAACTCCCTACTTCCTGTATCTCTTTCTGTATTTCTGATTAAAATGGTACATTTTATTGTTTTGACTATTTAAAAAATACCTAAATAATAAACTAAATAGGCATTGTTGTGCAAATTTTCCACTCATTCGTATATTTAAATCTATCCATATTTATACTTACAGGTCCTACTTAATTCAATCTGACTATTGTATAATAGTCTAGCATGTGACCGACCATGATACTTTTCCATTAACTATTTATTTAGATTGTTTCCAACTTTTTATTATTAGAAAGAGTACAATAGTCAATCTTCCACAATATGTATCTTTTAATAAGATGCATAATTAGTTTTTCTAGAGTATGAGCCTTCAGATGGAATTGTTTTAAACTATACCCATTTGATCTTTGCAAGATTATCTCCAGTTATTCTCTAAAGTGGTTACTTCTCTCTCAAAGTTTTTGGACTAGATTTTTCACAATTCTGTAGCTTTAGAATATGACATAGTAATATTACAGAGCACTCCTTATGAGTATTGTATAGGCAGTATCATATAGTATTTTAGATAATCACACTAAGCAATAAAGACTGTAAATAGCTTCACACAGTTTAGATCAGATGTTATAGCCAAATGAGTTCCAAAACACTTTATTTGCTGAGCTTTTTAGATTTCAGATTTGCCTGTAAAGGATTGAAGACTTGTTCTAATTTTCACTCCTTTCAGCAATGTGTGAAATTTTCCGCATTCACTTATCCAGATTTTTATTTTGGGCAGGGAATGAACAAGTTGTGGGGACAAGGTCTCACTATATAGCTCAAGATGACCTTGAACTCTATATGGCCCAAGTACCAGGATTATAGGCATATGCCACCACACCTAGCTGCATTGCCAGCCTTAAAAAAAATCTCTATATTGCTGCAATTTTCATATGCCATAATATTTAGAGGTAATAATATAAGTAGAGGTAATAATACAAGAAACTCCATGATTCCAGGTATCTCTCTTCAGCCTCTATCATAATATGGTCAGTCTTGTCTCATTTATAACCCTACCTACTTCTTCATTCCTATCAGTGGTTTTACAACAAATTTCAGATATCACAGCATTTTAGGTATAATTGCTATATACCTAAAAGCATATATAATATGTACTAAAGTATATACCTCTAAAAGATAAGTATTGTTATCTTTTAGATAAGGATATATATGCGTACATATATGACAATCCCATTTTATGCTTTGAAAGAATCAACATGATTTTTTAGTGTTATAAAATGTCCCGTACTTGTATTTTATTACTTAGCTTGCAGTTTTTCCCCCATAGGTTTGGTAGACAAGGTTCAGACATTGTGTTTGTTTTTTGTTTTTTGTTTTTGGTACTGGGAATCAAACTCAGGAACTTGCACTTGCCAGGCAGGCACTCTGCTGCTGAGCTGTATCCCCGGCCTGAGACACTGTATTTGGCTAATATATTTGTCCCTTAAATTTCTTTACATCTGAAGATTTTTCTCCTCTTTCCCCCCAGGTAGTTTGTAGCATATAATTTGCCTATTTTGGATTTTGCTAATTTCATATCTGTTGTGTAGTTTAACATGTTTTATCATCTCCTGTATTTCTTTTTTTTTGGTACCAGGAATTGAACTCAGGACCAGGACCTTGTGCTTGCCAGGCCCTATATCCCTGGCCCTATCTCCTATATTTCTTGTAAGCTGTTAGTTTTAGACCCTTGATTAAATGTAGATTTGAATTTTGGAAGAATACCTCACAGGTTTACTGTGTACTTTATATTGGTACCTCTGGTATCTATAGCTGTGGTATTCATATTGATCAGTGGAACTAGTTGTTTTAGAATATTGTTAAACACTTTCATAAGTGAAGAATGCATCAGGAATGCAAGAGCATCTTAGCAAGGTAGTTCTGCCTCATATCCTCACACAAAACTGAAATTAAAGTGTTGGCTGGAGCTGTAGTTTTCTCACAGCTTGACAGAGGGAGGATCTGCTTTGAGTCTCACTCACACAGTTGTTGGCAGGCCTTGTTCCTTGCCGCGTGGAGCTTTCCACAGAGCTCCTCACCATGTGGCATCTGATTTTGTCCAGGGAAAGCTGTCACAGCAAAAACATGGAGATTGTCCAAAATAGAAGTTACAGTCAATCATCCAAAATGAAAAATAGTAGCATATCATTGCTGCCATATCCACTAGAAGTAAGTTACATATAGCCCAAACTTGGAGGGAGGCAATTACTCAAGGAAAAGAATGCTGGGATGCCGGGCTCATTGGGGCATCTTAGAGTTTGTCTATATCATTTGAACAGCCCAAATAAAAATAAGAAAGTAAATAATTATAAAAGGAAATGAATTTTAAATGATAAAATTATTAACCAAATGTAGTATTTGCCAATTTCTACTTATAAAGTGATACATTTTATTATTCAGATCTTATGTCTATTATTCCATGTGTTGTTTGCTAATTTCTTCATAATTAAGATACATTTGGTAAATTTTATGATAACTTTTAAATTTGTGTTTGTGAATCTTAGTAAGACAGTCCAGTGTTTTCTTTCCATAAACATGTGTAATTAGAAGTGTACATTTTGATATTGCCATAACAAAGTTACTTTTAATCTAATATCTATAATAGATAGACATGTGAATTAATATCAATAGTTGGTTTTGGCCCACAGGGAGTAGAGCTGTGGTAATGGAGTGTCAGTATGGGCCAAGGAGAAAAGGTTTCCAGTTAAAAAAAAACAGTGAACAGGAAAGCAGGCTATGTCAGCGCTACAAAGCCACTTGTCCAGCCAGGTAAGCCTTCTTTCTTTTTCACTGTAGTCTTATTTTTCAATAATAAATATGGACAATTTTTTATTAAGTTCCAAAAAATACTCTATGAATTCTAAGTTTTCTTTCATTCCTGCTCCCTTTATCCCTCTTTAAGGCTGCAAAACTTACCAATTTCTTGAGTCATCGTATGACATATTCTGTGTATGTATGCTCCCTCTACCCCCAAAAATGTTTGGAAAATCTCAGTAAAACACACTAATCACTAATATTTTCTTTCCTTCTTCTTTTTTTTTTTTTTTTTTTTTTTTTG